AATGACGTGGCCCTGCTATTTAGAAAGGCATCTGTAACCAGAGTTAACTTAGGGAGGCCAGGTCTACGGATGGGGTGGTCTGAAGGCCATGAGGCTCTCTCACATGCACACCTGGCCTCACCTACCAGGTGCATGCTCCACCTGGCATCACCCACCATCCTCGTCCTCTGCTGGGTGCCCAGGCTGCCCACTAGTGCCAAAGGCCTGTGGGTGAAGTCGTTGTGGGACTGTGGTTCTCAGGGCTGCTATTCAGCTGGGAGCTCCAGGAATGCCCACATCCTGCTTCCCGTGAGGTCCCCTGGCACGATATACGCACAAGGACGTTGACAAACAGGAAGTCAACAGGCAACTTAGTTCTGGGATACTCAGAAAAGCCTGCACTGGGCCCAGGGCCCTTTGCTATCACCCAGTGACAAGTCCCCTTTGGAATTAAATGACTGTGACCATTGAGCCTGAGCCAGCCACACATGGCTTTAGGTGCACCTCCCAGATGATAAGACTCATTGCAATCAGGGCTGAATTCCTGTGGGCAGTCCCTCCTTCTGCCCTCGTGGCGGTGGCTTGCTGTGTGCTGTTTCAGTGAGAGAACAAAGCAGGACTCACCTCCCAAGGTCCCAGAGGAGGGAAGAAAGCTGTGACTGGCTGCTCTGAGCCCACCGTTCCTGTTGGAGGAGGGGTGAGCAAGACGTCCCCTCTGTCCTTTGAAGTCGCCACCAGTGGTGCCCACGGAACTTGGCTCGGTCACCGCCGATCCCTGCACTGCCTGCACAAAGCAATCCCACTCCCTGGAGAAGGCAGGAAGCAGAATGAGTCATATCTAAAAGCTGCTTAGCCCAGTCTTGGGCAAGGAAGGAAAAAAACACACACACATTAAAAACCCTTTGATCTTTGTCTCTGATTTCTGGAACGTTCCATCTCATTGTGACTTAGAGAGTCAAGGGAGGATGGGCACCTCTAACTTGGCAGCCTCTGAAATCCAGTTGTCATGAACTAGGCTGATGATCGATTCCCTTGAATCCACAAGATGGTAGAGCTAAAGACGGAAGTAGTCCATGGCCCACCATTGCATTAGCAAGAAACACCCTTTGAAACGGCAAGATGCCCTCCTCCCAGACTGAGGGCCCAGGAAGATCAGCTTTCTCCCCCTTTTCCCATTCAAGTTCTTGCCACCTGCTTCTTCCCACCCCCACCCCCCAATGCAGCCATGGAAAGCACATTGACTGTGGAGGCAAAATCATGGTAGGACATCGGGCATGGATTCTGCTCTCTGGGCCCCAGTCTCCCCAAGGGAAAAGTGGAGGGGGATGATCCTTTCGATCCCCAGCCTCTCATGGTGGGATTCTAGAGCTGGAAGCAGCCGACAGTGGCCCCTCTCTCTCCCTCTGGCTCCACCCAGCGGGAGACCTGATAGTGATCTTTGCACGGAGCTCCCACTGGTCAGCTCCTTTGAGCCTGGCATTGCTTCTGGAAGCCTGAAAGGTGATAACTGTCATTTGTGTTTGTGAGCACAGAGGGAAAGGGTCAGGTGGATGTGACTCTGAAAGCATTAAAGCCCTGGGTTTCGGCCCTAGCTTTGCCCCATTCATCAGTTTGATGACCTCGGGCAAGGGACACATTCTGTTAGTAGAATCTACCAAGATGGACTTAAAAGCTGTCAGCAGCAGACATCATTTCTCTGAGACTCAATTTCCTCATCTGTAAAATGTGGATATAGCCATCCCCATCCCACGGGGGTTGTTGAAGTATCAAATGCAATAACGCACAGTGTGTAGAGTTTAGCAGGAAGCGTGGTCCTTGGGCATTTAATAGATGTTCGCCATTGATATGACCAAGTACCGGCCCTCCGGCAAAGGTCTGTGGCAGGGCTGGCCTCTCCCGGCTCTGTGTGCACACGCATCACCGGGGTCTCGCCCAGAGTGATTCGAATGCTGTGGCTGCTCACAACCCTTCCTTCACCTGTAGTGAGTGCTGGGGAGTCAGAGGCTTTCCCTAGTGCTAATTCTGAGTTTTAAAGATGTAGCAGGTGTCCTTTCCAGAGAGCATCCCAAGGCCTCAAAGGCCCATCAAATGCAAAGTTAGAGCGTACGCCCACATCAGCCACCCCGCCGAGCCGCTGCAGACCCGTTGGCGGAAGATCAGACACCCAGTTGCTGGGGGTTAATTACTGACTTGGCACCCGTCTTCTTGGGGAGCACTTGCAAGCGTCTCTTTTTTCTCTTTCCAGAGGCATAAACATTTGTACTGCAAGTAGCCCAGGGGGCCTGGAGATGTTTACTTTGTAGTGAAGGAAGAGAGGGGCTTGTTTGTTTGGGGAGCAAGAGCACTGCTGGCCCAGGGGAGAAGTCTTCAGGGGACCCCTTGCCCTAGCAGGTATCTGTGGGGGTGATTCAAGGTGGGGTGGGACCGCTTCATTCCCCACTGATGGAATAAGTTCCTTCAGTCAGCAGAAAATGGATGCTCTTCAATAAAGGTTTTCCCTGTTGTTGGGTCCCCGGGGTCAGAGCCCAGAGGACTCACCTTGTGGCGGCGTTAGCAAATCAGAGAGCTGCTAGGTGCCATAGTGAGAGTGAGAGTCCTGGGTTACTAGCCAGGCTTAGGGCCTGGAGGGTTGCATGGAGTCAGTGGTTGAGGGCCGACTTTCTTCCGCAGCTCTCTGTTCCTACCACTGGGCGGCGCAGGTGAGCAAGGCTGCACCGGGATGGCTCCTGTAGGGAAAGCAAGGGTGCAAGGAGGCAGGGTCTGGGGTCTGTGAGGACTGGGAATCCGGCTGGCAGACAGCTCCTGGGTGCCTTCCCTCGGCGAGCTAGGCCTGGGGGCTTTCCCTGCCTATCTGCCCACCTCGGGCCAGGAGGGAAACAGGAGGACATCCAAATTCTGTATTGGTTCCTGACCTGAAGCAATAGGTAAAGAAATCCGCTGCCGGCTGGAAGCCAGCAGGGAAGGGTAGTCCCACCCAATAGATCTGTCCCTGAGAAGGTGAAGGTCAGTAGGTACTTTTATAAAACAGGGCCACCGACGGGAAACTAACTACTTAAAGGAACCGAGTCAGGAATTATTTTCTAAGGAGAGAACTGCCCTTATTTTGCGCACTGTGTTCTTGGGGTTTGAGAAATGGGTTCTCAACTCCAAAGGCAGAGCGCTTCCGGGGTCCCCCACACTTTTGGGGGCCCCTGTGAGGTCTGGCGAGAACCGTGTGATTCAGCTCCCATTTGCAGTCAGGACTATGGGCCAGGCCCTTGACACGTTGGCTCCTCTCCAGGCCTCTGTGGTTAGGAGCATCACCACCTTTAGGTGACGAATAAAAATTAGCCGAACACCTTACCTTTATTGTATTATTTAATCTTCATAACAACTCTCTGAGAAACGACTGTTACACCCATTTTATGAGTGGGTAAAACTGAGGTTAGAAAGGTAACTTGCCTGAGGTCTGGGAACTCAGGTCGAACCCGCATTGACCCCAGGTTCCTGAGTCCAGCCAGAGCTCATAGTCTCAAGGCTCCTCTGATCGGGAATCAAGTTTTCCAAGTGAAGCCAGGTCGCTTAGCCAAGGTTACCTACATGGGGTGTGATATCAGACCTGCCTCCGTCTCTGGCTCCTTGTGTGACCACCTTCCTCAGCCCCAGCTTCCGGGCCTTCACCCCAAACTGTACACAGGCACAGCCTGGAGTGTGTTTCTGCGAGTTTGTTCCAAAGCCTTGGACCCATAAGTAAGGCGGGAAAGGAGGAATGGTGAAGTGCACCAAGAAGAAAGACCACCTTAGCCATCTCCCTGAGCCTGAGTCAGCCAGGAGGGCCGGGAGTTGGAGGAAGTTAAGCAGATTCGGTCGCCCTCTTTGCTAAGAGATTTGGGTAGCAGCGAATCTCAGCTGAGCAGGGCAGCGTGCAAAAAGGCGGGCCTCCCCCGCCTCCTGGGACTGAGAAGAAAGGCACGTTTCTGAGAGACTGGGGCTCCCCACATGGGAAAGGGAAGTGATGTTAGCTGAACGTTTGGCTGGGAGTCTGGCTCACGGTTCCAACTCATGGGCATCAGCAAAGGAGAACAAGGAATTGCTGAGGGTGGCAAATTGGTTATAATTAAGAGAACCTGGGAGACACAAAACAATGTCAGGGCAACCAGCTGTCCAGGATCTGGGTCTCTGTCTGGAGGAACAGCTCAGGAAACCAGCCGCCCACCCCTGCAGTGCAGGCCATTCCAGCAAAGAGCCTCTTCCCCGCCCTCCCTTATGCTCCCAGGGCCCAGAGTGCTGCCAGGCATTCCTTAGGGTCTCCCTTCCCCGCCCCACCAGCACCTTTTCCTTTCCTTTCTCCACAGACTCACCGGGTCTTGTCCCTCAGGAAAGTAAAGAAGCTGACGGTGCTTCTTGCATGAGTTATTTAACCTGAGCCTCAGTGTCCTCATCTGACAGATGGGGATAATAACAATGCTGAATGCATACAGTTGGTTGTGAGCATTAAACACGATGTGTGAACGTGGGTGGCACAGCACAGGGGGGCGGCTAACTTGCCACGGGCTAAGAATGGTTTTCACAGGTTTTAATTGCTGGGGTAAAAACAAAAACAAAAACAAAAAAACCCCACACACATTTGATGACATGTGAAAGATAAAAAATTCAAGTGTTAGTGCCCATAAATTAAGTTTTATCAGAATACAACCACCATTTACTTAGATCAGGGGTCCTCAAACTTTTTAAACAGGGGGCCAGTTCACTGTCCCTCAGACCGTTGGAGGGCCGGACTATAGTTTAAACAAAAACTATGAACAAATTCCTATGCACACTGCACATATCTTATTTTGAAGTAAAAAAACAAAACGGGAACAAATACAATATTTGTATTTGCATGTGGCCCGCAGGCCGTAGTTTGAGGACCCCTGACTTAGATAGTGTCTGTGGCTGCTTACGTGTGAGCCCTGGTGCCCCTCTCCCCACCCCCCCCACCCCCCTTGGAGTCACCTGGAGGCCCCAGGACTTGCAGTGACGAGGTCCTTGAAGGTCTCAGTGGGTGGGCACGGGTTCTAGTGGTTGGCCCCCAACAACCAGTGCGGGCAGAGTTGAGTAGTTGTGACAGAGATCAGAGGCTATATGGTTCAAAAAGGGTAAAGTAGTTACTATTCAGCTCTTTGCAGAAAAAAATTTACCAACCCCTGGAATAAACGCCAGACACTTAATAAGTGATCAGTTAAATGTGTCAATCATTCCTGTTACTATATTAATACTCCTGTTATCCTCTTTTGGTCTAGTTTTAACTTTCAGGTACCCATGCTTACGGCTTAATGGAGAGGTTCTAAACCTGAAGTCCATGGAGGGCTTTAGGGGGGTCTTTAACTCTCCAGAATTTCTATGCAGATTTTTATAGGCGGGATCTTTTGGTGGAGGGGCCTGATAATATTCACCTGATTCTCAAAGCGGTTTGTGTTCTCAATAGGTAAAGAAGTGTAGGTTTTTTTAAAAAAAATTTTTTTAAATTGATTTCAGAGAGGGAGAGAGAGATAGAAACATCAATGATGAGAATCATTGATTGGCTGCCTCCTGCACACTTCACACTGGGGATGAGCCCGAGACCAGGGCATATGTCCTGACTGGGAATTGAACCATAACCTCCTGGTTCATAGGTCTACGCTCAACCTCTGAGCCATGGCTGTAGGGCAAGAAGTGTAGGTTTGCTGCCTTCCTCGCCCCAGGCAAATTGATCTGTACTTTTCTGGGCTGTCTGGAAGCAACATCTGTGAGGGTGAGATATTTGGGAGCTCGGGGCCTCTCTCTGAGCCCACCTGCCTGCCCCGAGGGGCCTGAAGTGCAGCAGGAATAAGGAGCCCTCACTTTGGAGCGGGCTGAATCCTGGCCTTGCACTCTGCTGGCTGGGTCCCTTCTCTGAGCCTCCGTTCCTCAGGCTGGGCTGTCACGCGGATGAACTCAGCAATGTCTGTTGAGTGCTCAGTACAGGGTCTCACACACATACTGGTAGGGGCTGCAGAAATGTTAGCTGCTGTTATTATTGCGATTACTATCCCCATCCTTGCACATTCAGAAGCTCTTTCTTCAGCTTGCCCCGGGAGGCCCGTAAAAAGCTGCCCCGTATTAGGGTAAATATGAGGTTTGAATACCCCTCGAATGCTCTTGATCCGATTCATCTGTGGCACCAGCAACTAAGGCAAGTCCATGAAACAGTCACATGATCAGTGTGCAAAATAGCGGGCGCCCAGTTGTGTGTGTAAAAGTCCAGTGGCCTCATTTGAACAGGGACAGTGGTAAACGTTCCTAAGAGTGAAATAAGTGAAATCTGAAACTTCTCAGTTGCAAAAGCCTGGGCTGTTTTAGACCTTTCTGTTTCCCCTCGCTGAGGAGGGAGCCTGGACCTCAGACTTGGATCTATTTTCCTCCTAAAATGCTTCTCTGTGGGGCCTGGTTCCCCAGCCCAGTCCTCCACAGCTAGCAGGTTCATGCCAGGGCCCAGTGTCCAGCGTCGGGAGGGCTGGGGGTGTCCTTGCCCCAGGGCTGTCCTGGAGACGGGCCCCCTAGACACGGGCTGGTCCACGGCCAGCCGAGCCCAGTGCTGCCAGCCCCCAGTTGCCGGGTGTAGTCCCATTCAGCAGGGGCCTGGTGGCTCCAGACAACAGCTGGAGACCAGAAACGAAGACTTCCAGCTACAAGCAAATGTTGCTGCTACTTGAGGTTGAAATATTCTGTCCCCCAAGTTCCCCTTTCAGCCAAGCAAAAACAATCCCCCACAGGGACCCGACCCCGCCACAGAGGAACAAAAGCTCTCCAGTTCTCAGAGTCCCAGAGACTGGTCTGCAGTTTCAGGCTCACACAGCCCAGGGGGGAAGAGGAGATGATCATGTGATTTCCAAGCTTGGAGACAAGGTCACCCTTGTCCAGCCCTTTCCGTCTCCACAGGAAGAAGAGCCTTTGATTGCTTGACAAAGGACGAGGCTGATGCTGCGCTGGTGTGGGCTCCCCAGAGGGCGGGTGTTACAATGTCCAAATCTCTCAGGTTTCGGAAAACAAGGAGGTGAGGTTAAGGTCAGCGGTGCCCCAAGTCCGCTCAGAGGGGTTTGGGGTGCTCTTCCTGGTCCTGCTGCAGGCAGGACAGCTGCACATTCTGGCTGCATTTAGTTTTCTGCTGCAGGCTAAGCTGTCTCTAAGAAATTTACTAGTGGGCCACCCCATTTGTTTTCCACCAGCCATGAAAAAGATTTTCCTTCAGAATATATTCGCACATGACATATCTGATGAGGGGTTGATAACTAAACTGTATAAGGAACTCATACAACTCAGTAACATAAAATAATCTATCCAATTAAAAAAATGGGCAGAGGACAGAAAAAACATTTCTCCAAAGACGTACAGATGCCAACAGACATATGAAACAATGCTCAACTAATTATCAGGGAAATGCAAATCAAAACCACAATAAGATACCACCTCACACCTGTCAGAATGGCTATTATAAAAAAGCCAACGAATAACGTGTTGGTGAAAACGTGGAGAAAAGAAAACCTTGTGCACTATTGATAGGACTGCCAATTGGTGCAGCCACTATGGAAAACAGTATGGAGAGTCCTCCAAAAACCAAAAATGGATCTACCATGTTACCCAGCAATTCTACTTCTGGGTATTTATCCGAAAAGTTCAAAAAGATATATGCAGAGATTAACCAAATAACTTATATGCATCTATGTATAACCCACGGATACAGACAATAAAGCAGTGAAGGCTTGGGGTGGGGCGGGAGCCAGTTGGAAGGGGGTAATGGGGGAAAAATGGGGGACATCTGTAAGATTCTCAACAATAAAGAAAAATTTAAAAAAAGATATATGCACCTTTATGTTCATTGCAGTATCTTTTACAATAGCCAAAATATGGAAGCAAGCTAGATGTCCATCAATAGATGAATGGATAAAGATGTGATACACACAAACACACACACACACAATGGAAGTTTATTCAGCAATAAAAAAAAGAATGAAATCTTGCCATTTGTGGCATGGATAGAACTAGAGAGTCAGATGAAGAAAGACAAATACCATATGGTTTCACTTATATGTGGAATCTAAAACAACAACATGCAAATGAACAAACAACACACAACAAAAACAGCAGCCTCATAGAAACAGAAGGGGTGTGTGTGTGTGTGTGTGTGTGTGTGTGTGTGTGTGTGGGGGGGGTGATGGGTAGAAAAGGTGAAGGGGAATATAGTCGGTAACATTGTGATAACTGCCTGGTGACAGGTGATTACTAGACTTAGTGTGAAGATCGCATTGTAAAGTACATACATGTTGAGTCACCATGCTGTACACCTGGAACTAATATAACATTGTATACCAACTATATTTAACATTTCACAAAGTCAAAAAGAGCTCCTGGGAAAGAGAGAAGGAAAGTTCAGAGAAGAGAAACACTTGAGTGAAGCTTTCAGGGGCCATCATATTGCAACAGCCACCACAGGGCTGGGGCTGGCTGCTGTGGTGCAGGCCAAGGTCAGCTGGGGAGAGGACAGAGGGAAAGAGAGGACCATGAACTCCATGTCCAGGTAAGGTGCCTGCCAGAGAACTATAGGAAGTCCTCACTTAACGTCATTGATAAGTTCTTGGAAATGGCGACTCTACGTGAAGTATACTGAAACGAATTTTACCACAGGCTAATGGATATAAACAGGAGTCGGGTTCCTATGGCATATTTCTGCTCACAAAACATCACCAGACTTCTGAATAAAGACCTGTGAAAACACTTCTAGTATTAACCATTGAAATACATGTGAGCTGTATCCTATACACGTCTCCTTGTTCTTAACCCCCCACGTCTACTCTACAATAACGAGGCACAGCTACCATTTACTGAAACGATACTAAGATAATAACTCATCACAACTCCGTGGGCAGGTGCTGAATTGCCCCCATCTGACAGATGGGAAAGTAGGCACACCGGGCTGAGTCACCGGCCCAAGGTCACATGGTAAGCAGTGGGGTGGGGGTGTGAGCCCAGACCCTGAGTACCTACCCCTGGCCCGAGGGTGTAGCCAGCTTACTCTCACCTAGTTCTCCCCTCCCTCCAGGGCTGGTTTGGGGGCCTGGTCAGGTCGCCCGAGTCTCTCACTTGTGTACCTCCGAGGCTCTCATGGGCCTCCTCACCCTCGGTCTTACCCCACTCCAATCTGTTTTTCCTAATGCAAGTGCCTATCCCTCTAAACTAGGAATCTGATGTCACTGCTCCACCGAAACCCTCCGAAACCTCCCTGTTTTACACTTCCTGGTCCCTCAGCAAATGAGTGGTGGGAGCTGAATCCTGTAGGCTGGCTCCAGGGCTGTGCTCTCCACTACCACCCCACGCTGCTCTCTGAGCCCGTTTCCTCACTGGCGAAACAGGGCAACAGTACCTGTGGAAAGGGCTGTCAGGGTACGCACAGCGCCTGACAGGAGAGAGCTGGGCGCAGAGCGGGCGACTCACGGAGCTTCCATTGGTGTTATTACAAAGGAGGGTGGGCAGAGGAAGAACTGGCTCTCTGAGAGGCAAGACAAATTCCACCTGGGATAATAACTACATGAGTGTTTTAGACATCTTTTCTCACTTCATCTTCATTACCTTCTGGGGCACAGGTATTACTACATTTACAGGGAGGGGAAACTGAGAAGTGGATTGACCACCTCAAGGTGGATTCAAACCTAAGTTTTTCCGAGTGCAGAGCCTCGTCCCTGAGAACTGCCCGTCTCACCGGGTGGCATGCGGATTTGGAATTCCAACTCTTTCGGATCTTCCCAGCTGAAGATCACTGCGGGTCAGAGCTGCGGCGAGACCTGAGGGAACCTGGAGACACTTGGGAAAAACTGAGCCAACAGTGCGGCCTGGCATGGGCACAGGTTAGGAAGAGCGAGGGTCTCCCTGCACGCGACACCGTCCTTGGAGTTCGGGGGGCGGGGGGGCGGCGCCCATAAAGACGACAAGACAGGGCCCATCCCGTTTCTACAACAATGAGAATATTTATTTTCTCCAGGCAGTAAAAATAACATTTTTCTCTCTTTTGTAAAAGTTAAGTACCATTACATTCCATTTTCTTAAATAACAAAACCCCTAAAAATATATATTAAATTGTATACAGTGCGTCACACTTCATCTTATATTTTAAAATACATGATGTTTCTATTTTATTCTCAAAGTTGCATATTAAGAGCATATTTACAAATAAAGCCTTGTCATCCAAAGTCAAGATCCCCCCAGGAAGGTGAGCCTGGACGTGGGCAGGTCTGGACGCTGCGTGACCCCTGCGATGGCAGCTCCCCGCCACGTGCTCCCGAAGACACGTTCTTTCTGAAGCAGATTTGCCTCGGACTTTCTTCCACACCCCACTTCCGTCTTGTTGAGTATGCTGGACTCACAAGACAGAAGCCTGTGCAATGGGCACCCCCCTGGGTCTGCAGGCAGCGGGGGAGGCCCTTTCACCCCTGAGCCGGCCAGCCCGAGGGGAGGCAGCTGCGGCTGGAAGGTTTGAGAAATACCCCACGCCAGGGCAGCTAAGCTGAGAGACCTGGCCAGGAGGTAGAAGAGTGAGGAAGGTAAACAAAGACACCAGAGGAAACAAGTAAAAGGTTAAAAATTCCCAAGGTAGTAACAATAGCCGGCATCAAACACCACATAGGAGATGTGCAACCCAAGAGGGTGCCAGTTGACGGGGCTATGGCGTGGAGCTGGCCTGCTCTGCGGGAGACCTGGGGTGGCCTCGGCAGGCAGGGGAGACTGGGATCTCTGAGGCCGTCCACTAAGTGCTGGTGAGGATTAAGTGCTGGACGGGACGCACAGAGGCTTGGCGACAGCCTGTGTGCCCGCTGGTGCTGGGATGGCCTGGCCGGATCCTCAGCTGGGTCAGGCGACTCCTGCCTGAGCTGATGATGGGGCGTGTGGGGAGGCCTTTCCCCACAGGTCTGGCCTGAGGTCCAGGATGGCGGCATTCACTAGTGCTTTGATCTTCGTGGGTTTCTGACTGACTGGAATCTTGAGCCAGAGCCCACACTTCAGAAGTTACAGCGATCACCTTACCTCGCTTATTCCCAGAGGCCTTCTACCCTGTTCTGACATGGGGTATGGGGGTAGGTACCCGGGGTTCATCCTACTCCTTCTCTGCTCTGTAAGCAGCCGCACATGGGGAAGAACACGGGCACTGAGTGCCTTATAGAGGGGCCACGGGCACTGAAACATGGCTAAGGAAAGGGGAGGCAACAAGAGCAGTGGCCCTCCCTCATGGTGGGACGTACACGGAGAGCCAGGGCCTGGGTACCAGCAGTGAACGGGATGAGGAGGGCACGCAGGTCCTGAGGCACCTACTTGCAGGCTCCTCCACTCACCCACCTCAGGGCAGAGGCTGTGGACTGGATGCTTTCAGAGCCACTGTCCACGGTGGTCCCCAGAGCCCCCCCTTCCTGTTTCATCATCTTCCACTATGTGATCTGTAATGGACTTTTCTCAGGGTCACCCGTTCCAATCACCTCCAACCCCACTTTCTCTCTTCTAGAGCAGTGTCTTAAAAGGCCAAGTGCCCCCTGGAGGCACACCTCACCTCTTGCTTTCTCAGCTGTTTACTTAGCCACAGGGGACCCTCTGTGGGGTGTTGCTGACCAACCAAGACATGGCCAGGCTGTGGCCAAGGAGTGTGTGGAGGTTCAGCCTGCGACGGTTTATGGCTCTCTTCCCCCATGCTGTCCTGAAGCTGGTTTGGGATTCCCGTGGCCCCTCCCTGGGCAGTAAGTTGATCCTGGAGGCACTGGGCTGTTCCAGGACCGGCCGGAAGGAGAGCACTGGGGCGTCAGCAGCGCTTCCAGGATCTCTGAGAAAGGGCTGATCCTGCTGCCACTCAGGCAACACACTGGCTTGGGGCTTGGCCCCTGTGACCAGAGTGAGGTGAGCAGGGCGGGCGGGCGGCTCCCAAGGCCAGTGATCAGAGTAAGTCTTAGGCAGCCACGCTGCCTGTTGGCTGGGTGAACCCTTTGCCAAATCCCACATTCCCTTGGATGTGGGTCTATTCACAGCTCAGGGTCCTTTGTTACTGCACACCTGACACTTGTGTTTGAGAAGAGATTCCTCAAACGCCAGGAATAGCTTGGAAGGGAGACTGCACATGTCAGTATATGTCCAGTGGTCCTTGATTGGACAGACTTCTGTCTCCAGACCCCGGGTCTGCCGACAGCTGCTCCCGGGAAACGGCCCTTTCCAGATCAAAGCGTGAAGACAGCACCAAGCAGCCCCATGCTTGTGGTGGGTCTCACGTGGTGCCTGGAGAAGCGCCCCTGCCCCCCTGTGGACACACGGCCCTGTTCCCCCTCTAAAGGCCCCTCTGCCTCCAGCTCCTGGCATCTCTCCTGGTTTCCAAGTGTCACTTCTCCCTGTGGATACCTCCCCGCTGCCCTGCTTTTCTGGCAGCAGCCAGTTTCAGACGGGTTGCCAACGTGGCAGAACCCCAGGAAGGACCATGGCAGGTAGTGGCTCAGGGACTTGGGAAAACTCGGCAAAGTGCTGCAAAGAGGGAACCTGGGAGGCCAGAGGCACAGCAAGGCCCAAGGCCCGAGTGCCTGAGGGAGAGTCATGTTCTGACCAAGGCCCAGGCCCGGCCTTCAGAGGCCCAGGCTGCTCTTCTCACTGCTGCTGACGAAGCCTGCTTGTGGGTGGTGGGCACTTCTAAACTGGAGAGGCACTGACTCTCACAACCAGGGGCAGGGTCGTGTGGGATCAGGGGTAAGAGCTCTCCCTCCCCACCAAACCATTCCGTTCCCGTAGAAGGGGCAGAGGGGGCCGCAGAGAACATGGGCGCAGTGAGGGGTTTTCGTCTTCTTTCACAATGAGGGACAGCTAAAGGGGGACTGTGGCACCCTGTCTTCCATAATGCTGCCCAAATGCTAAGCCATGAGATTGATATTCCTGGTTCTGAACTGAGAGTCAGCTTAGAGAATCATGGAGAGATGAGGGCCTGGCTCAGGTAACACAGGACCACCAGCTGTTTGGGGCAGGGCCAGACAAATCCAATCCAACAAGAAGTTACTGAGCACCTAGACAAGCTTTCAGTGAAGTCACATGTGTGAATAAATCAATGGATGCTTTATACGACCACTCCACAAGCTTGCTCTGTTGGTCACCAAGCTATGGGAAGAAGCCCAAATGTGGGAGGCTTCAGGTTTGACATGAATGGGGGTCAGAAGACCTCATTCTCAGGCTGTCTAAGACTGGAGGAGGCCTTTTCTCATCCAGCACCCAGAGAGCAAAGCCCGAGTCAGCACAGAGCATGGGCCCTTTTAGGGCTTTGGGGATGCTAATACCCAGGAGTAGAGGACCAGGCCAACCCTCAAGAGAATTTCAGAATTCTCTGCCTGGCCTTCTTCTAAACCATAAAGACCAGGAGAAAGTGATCTATGTGTGGAAAAAAACAGAGAAGAAGCAAGCAAGACTCAAGGCACACTACACTTACCCACCACCTGACAGTCATCTAGAATATACCTGAACCCAGTGCTGGACACAACCATCTTTGTCATCTCAGCCCCAGTGTCCTGACAGCCCCATTCCTGGATCTCACACACACACACACACACACACACACACACACACACACACACACGAGGGCCAGACCCTGGGACGTTGAGTTTCTCTCCTAAGTGCAGCTGATGAAGCAGGACGAATCCAGGCTACACCTGCCCCTGCAGCAGGACGCCCCTTCCCAGTCCATTGGCAGGTGCCTCTGAAGAGGCCGAGGGAGAGGCAGGGAAGAGTTCATCAGAGGAAACCACAGGAGAGGTGGTCCCTGTGGCCTTGACTCAGAGGAACCTCCTGTCCTGGGCATGGGGGAGCTTTTAGTCACTCACAAGAGGATTACGGTCATCTTGTTGACTCTGACCCTTGAGCTTCTTCTTAAAGATGGAAATGGAAGTAGAAGGCTTATAGAAAATGCTCCAGATTTCTCCTGATGTCCCTGGTTGACGACAATCCCTAAGGTCCCCTGAAGCAGGAACACGATGTGATCTGTCAAACAAAAATAACGTAAGAGTTCTTCCTGCCCAGTAGAACAAAGCAGCCCAAACAACCTACGTCGCATGAGAGACCTGAACCTATGAAATGGGACGCTCGGTGAGGGGAGGTCCCGGGAAAGACCTAAGCGCTGCTTTTAGGGATCTGAAGGACTATTGTGCTGATGAAATGCGTCCTGGGGGGTGGGAGTGCAGCGGGGCAGATTCCAGCTCAGTTTAACAAAGAACTTGCTAACTCGCAGAATTATTCCAATCTGGAAAGGGCTGTCCTGAGAGATTGCATTTTCAAATTCATTTTTTTTTAAATAGAAGAATGCTTTCTTCAAATTACATTTATCTAGTTAAAACGGGACAAAGGCGGAACTACTCTGCAGGAATGGGTCCTGCCTCAGCACCAATGCTGCGTGGCAGGGAAGCTGCAGAGGGGCTCCAGGGTCAGGTAGGAGCCAGACGTGCACTTTAGGGCTTCAGAGTGCCGTGAGCTCCTGGGCCCTATAGGAAGCCTCCTGCTCTCCTGCTATTGTGGTAGACACGTGGTCAGGACTGTGCCAAGAGGCTTCCAGAACATGTAAATTGTGCCTTAAAAAAAAATATATATATATATGGCATGTGAGTGGGCTCAGTAAACAATAATGACACTGTTTCCACTGAAAAATGTAAAGCGCAGGGTGGAGAGATGTGTGGGTGGTCCCAGTCTGACCACAGCCTTCAGAGGGCAGTGGAGGAGCCGTCACTTAATGTATAAACGCCTGTGGCTGAGAGCTAGTGAGAAGGTCAGGGAAAAGTGGCTTTCACTGGACACCAACATTCAGGAAGGCCTTGAAATGCAGATAGCCTATATATCAATTATATCTCAAAAAAAGGAAAAAAAAAGAAAAAGGAGAGAGCTGCACTGGGAACCACAGGGAAGACAGAGTAGAAGTCCAGAAAAAATTAGAAAGGGCCCCCCCTCTGTAAACACACAAACTTCAGCAGTCCCTTTCCCGGAAGGAAGAACTGTTAAACCTGAACAGCAAAATAAAGGAGGAAAATGTTTTTTTTCCAAATGGTCAGAATTGAAGGACGAAGCTTCCGTGAGTTTCTTAAATAACTGCCTTAAAATGACTATTAAGAATAGTTAATAAATGTTAGATTCTCCTCCTAAGAATGTTTCCGGTTTCTACAAGGCACTGGGAAATATGCCTGGTACCATCCCAGCAATCTCTATTCCTGCATCAAGATCTCTTCAAGGCTAGCACAAGGCAAAACATGGAAATTGTTGTTTTTTATGCCCAGGTTATCTCAATCCCCCTTGAAATTGTATCATTTGGACACAGTAGCAAACACAATCACTCAGACCTTAGTGAAATTTGTCCAGTTGTACATTTCACTCTCCAGAGAATGAGGAATATCACTGTCATATGTTCCCTAGGACTAAGGGCTCTGGGATCATGTTCTGATGTTACGCTTTCACCCAGACAAACGAAGCTAGTTGAAAAGGAGCTCTGAGCCTTTGCTCCTGGAATTGGGCAGCTCTGTCGTACTCACCTGAACGTGACGTGCAGAAGGATCTTTGCTACAATGGCTGTGACTGTGAGGATGAGGAGAGTTGCCAGGCCATACACTGTCCATCCTGCAAAAGACAGGGCCCATCAGACCTGTTTGAGCTCAGTTTTCAGAAGGAAGCCCTGAGATTGGCAGCTCAGAGACGCAGGTCTGGCCAAGGAGCTCCCTGCAAGTGGGAAAAACGACCAAATGCAGCTAAGCACCAGGCCGCATGGAGTCCCAGCCTTCTGAGCACCTCGCCTGGCTTTAGGGCTCCCTCTTGGAGAGAGGCAGGCGGTGTGGTCCAAGATGCACTGGACTCAGAGTCGAAAATGATGGTGCACATTCTGTCTCTATTACCGGATCCACTGTGCAACCACAAATGAGTTACATAGACTCTGTGGGCCTCAGTTCCTCGCCTGAGGAATGAGATGTGTGACCAGTGCAATCCTATCGGGATTCACAAACAAATGACGTGGGGCAAGCACTAGAGAGGCTCTCTGCCCTGACCTTCTACGGAGGGTCCTGCGGGGACCTGGAGAACAGTCTGAAAATCTCTAGCCTAGGTAATTGCTAACAATACGCTGCAGCTCTATCAGCTCACAAAGGCCCCAATTTCCTTGGCAGAAAAGAGAGAATGGAAGTCTGTACCCAACCAAGTTAAACCACAAGACCATTACCCACTTTCTATCCTTCTCCTGCATGACTTTTCTTCATAGCTCTTATCACTATCTGACTTTTTATTTTGCTTCTTGTCTTTTCTTCCTACTTATAAACCACTGGAGGGAAGATTTATTCAGTTCATTGTATAGTCCGGTGCCTACAATAGCAACTGGTACCATTAAAGCATTTATGTATCTTTTGATCGAATGAATGAGTAAGTAGAGCTCCTGAAATTGCCAATTTAGGGAGCAACAACTTGGGGTTCTAGAAAGATATTCTCAATGTGAGAAAACACTGGACTAGCTGATTAATCATAATGTACAAAAGGCACACATGTTGTCTCTATGGAGGTGAGCATTTTTCCTTAAGGACTAAGGAGTCAAGCTAATGAGAACATGTCCCTCAAAGGCCAGGACAAACATGGTGACAGAGCCAGGACCCCCAACCTGCCTTGGAATGAGAAACACCCAAGAGTACTCTGATTTTGTAACTGCCAAAGACACTGCCTTCAAGCTCTGTGGCTTCCACCCGCTTTGATGGTGTCTGGGAACTGCTACCTGGGACGGTCTGTGGTGGGTGGCTGGGGCTGGTGGTGATGACGTAGAGGACTTTGGAGGACCGGGCAGCGCTGATGCTGAGGTTTGCCTGCTCCGTGATCACCTCAGCCAACGTCTGGTTGGCAGTGGGCCTCTCCTGTGGTGGTTCTTCCTTAACAGCTGGAAGATCAAAAGGAATGAACTGGGGGAAAGCTGATAAAGAAAATGAGGAACTAGGGAGGAGGAGGCACTGGTTCTATAGTGGAGCTCCTGGTTAGTAGAAAGGCTGTTTTCTCTGATCCAATTCTGGATGTAATTCTCTCCACTGGCCTCCACGCAGAACCTGCCAGGCTCTGGCCCTGAAGAAGGCAGAAGGAACGCACTGTCAACTTCTAATCATCTGACTGGTCTGTCTGTGGACACCTGAGAATACTTTATCATTTCCTACCCTTGTGCCTTTGCAGCTATGGCTCCTTCTGCCTGGAAAGCCCTTGTCTTTTCTCTCTGTTCACCCAAATCCTACCTGTTCTTCAAGACTGTCCCACCTGTGGGGTGGCCTCCGCCCTTGAACTCCTTGTAGCACACACTGAGTGAACTCTTCTTGAGGCCCTTGACATCTAAGACAAAGATTAGGTCTTAGACACCCCGTGTTTCTCACGTGCTGGCAAAGATATGTGCCTGGAACACATGTGCCCACATTAGAGAGACATAGAGTGGGGCTTCACTTTAGGATTTAAAGAAAGATGGGAAACCAATCTTCTGTGGGTGGCTTGGATCCTGAGAGACAGGGTGATGGACCAAATGACCTCCTTAGAGCCTTCCAATTCTATCCGCCTCAGTTCTTTCTTTTGGTTGTTCTTTTAACCCTCCCATGGAAACTGTCATTAGGACTACTAACATGGCCAACATTACAGGTTTCACCTCTTTTCTGTATCATGAAACATATACAAGTTATGAAATGGGAGGGGGGGAAACCCGCAAGTTAAGTCAGTAGCTCCTGACTAAGACCTCCCAGCAAGAACTGCCCAAGCTCCACAGGTCACCAGGGTGTCCAAGAGGAGCTGGAGACACACAGGCAAGTCTTACCTTGGTATAAGACAGCAAATCCCTGGGCCTGATTGATGCGATCAGAGAAGAAATACAGAATGACAAAATCCAGGGAGACATTAAAGGACAAAGGTGGGCGGTTCCTTCCATTGAAACGGACCAGGACTTGGTGGGTGTAGCCGTCCAGCAGCTCCACCATGTCTGCGGAATCCCTGATGTCAAATAAGGTGAAGTTGAAGTGGATGTGGGAGGCTCCCGGGACCCGAATGGTCCAGTAGCAGACCCTCCCTGTGGCGTAGGTGTCAGGGAAGTCAGGGGAATAGACTACAGAAGTCATGGCCGAGTAATTCCCACCGCAGGCGCCGACGAGAGCTGTGGAAGACAAAAGGACACGGCCCTCAGCTTGAGCTCAGCCACAGGGCTCACTTTCCAACCAGTTACAACCAATTCTTCTGAACTTCTGAATGTGATCCAGTTTAGGACATTGTTTTTAGTCTAGAAAGCCAGACTGTCTTCTGTTTCGGGATCAAATCACCAAATGAATCACTTAAACCCTGAACAAATGACTGTGGAAGCTTTTTTTTTCCCCCCCAGGAGACCTTAGAATTAGAACACAGCACAGTGGTGTGGCCTAGGTGGGGGCCAGGCTGGAGTCAGAGAGTCTGGGTTTGGGACCAGCTGGGCCATGTGATCCTTCACTTCCAGGCCTCTCACTTCTTTCAGTCTTGAGGTTGGAGAGACCACCACCTGCTCCTGTATCACATGAATGTGTGAGGACAGATGAGATAAAACAGTGGGCCCTCTTTGCAGGGAGGCACTCCGTGAGGGAAAGCCGTGAAAAGGAAGGGCCTTACAGCACTGGGGCATCTCTGATACCTTAGAGGAGCAATGCACACGACGGTCCACACGAGAACTGACTTTCTGCCTGGAGGAGACTCACTCGGTCTGATCACTGTGTCAGCACGTCTGATTTCTCTGGACTCCGTTTTTGATTTGCAGGTTCCAGGAAGGGGATACAACCACTTGACTGTATCTTATGTGGTGAAGTATAAACAAGGTCCTGGACGTGAACGTCCTTGAGAGGGAGTGTGGGGCTGGGATTTACAAAGCTTTGGGGGAGTTCCACTTCCCTTTAGGATGTAGAAAGCAGTAAGAGGATGCTTTCATCCAAACAATGAAAAAAGCTCAAAACTTTTATCAGCCTGTCAGAAAGCTGAGGTCTGAAGACAAAGGAAATTTAATTCTAAACAGTAAGAAGCCCCTCCAAGGAGAGTCGGACCACACCAAAGTGTTTCGTCTTTGACAGAGCAAGAGGAAGAGGTAGCCACCATAGAAGCAAGTAAGAAGCAAGCAGCTAAATTTTAACAAGCCCCTGAAGGTTGAGTGTGGGCTAGCCTCTCAGTCTGGAGCCCCAGACATAACAGGGGTCTGCACTCAGTTGCAGGCAATTCTGGGCAGGCCTACCCAGCACCCACCACAATCCCCTCCCAAAGGAAGCACAGCCTTAAGCTGCTGGGAGAGGGGCAGCAAACCTTCTTGCTCCCAGAGTCAGGGTAGAAACAAAACCTGTTTGCCCCTAGGGAGAGGGAGTAGGAAACTCTCTCCTTCCTGCCAAAGTAACCAGGCAAAGATCTGCTTCTGGGGGAAGAGCAGAGGCAAAAGCCACCAACCCCGGGTTGCCCTGAGCCCAGGATCCTGCACCAATGAAAGCAGGGCAGGAAACGCTCTCCTTCCCAAGAGCCACCACCGATGCAAGGAAGTGGTTAGCTGCCAGGGAGAGGGGGGTGGTGCAGGGATGCTGAAAAGGTCCCACCCCATGTCCTGTCTAAGACTGAGGATGGACAGGAGGACCAAGACATCTCCCCATCCCTTGACCTCACAGAGCACAGCATTAAGTAACAGGCAACAGCACTGAGGGAGGGGAAGACCCCCTGGGTGGCATAGGCATGTAGCAACTACTCAAAGCTGAGGGTGGGACAGGAACACTGAAGAAGCCCACTGGCATCCCAGGCTCCACACGAAGCACAGGTAACAGCAGCTCATCACTGAAGGGATCTGAAACCTGATGTGCATTGAAGACAATGACAGAAGCAAGAAAATCCAAACCCAGCTCACTGCCGACAAAGGCTCAGTCCCCACACTGCACAGGCCTGCCCTTTTCCAGGGGTAAGTTCTATTGCCCTCAGCCTCTGCCGTTCTTCTGCACATCGTGTATGGCATTCAATAAAATATTACAACACACACATAAAAGCAAGCAAGAAAGAAAAAGGGGGAAAAAGACTAACTGTCAAGAGATAAAACATCTGGTATATATATATATATCTCAAATTATTATGTTGCAAACCTAAAATGAATATAATGTCAATCATATCTCAATTTTTAAAAAAGAGAGAGAAGACAATCCACAGAACCAGACTCAATAATGACCCAGACATTAGAACTACCAGACTACATGATTATACAGAAAGGACCTAGTGGAAAAGATGGACCATATGCTTGAACAGACTGGAAATTTCAGCAGAGATATGAAAACTATATAAAAGAGTCAAATGTAAATGCTAGAAATAAAACAAACAATTATCAGAGATTAAAAAAATCCCTTTGATGAGCTTATAAACAGACTAAACAAAGTTGAGGAAAGAATAAAATAATTTGAAAATAGGTCAATAGAAATTATCCAAAATGAAAGAGAGAAAAAAAAAATAAGTGAAAAAGGCAAAACAGCACCCAACAGCTGTGGGATAATATCAAATGGTCTAACAATATGTAATTGGAGTCCCAGAAAAAAAAGAAAAAGAGAACAAGGCAGAAGAAATATTTGCAGAGAAAATACATGGCTAAGAATGCTCCAAGGTCAATGAAAAGTAATCTAAGAATCTCACCAAACTCCAAGCAAATAAATTAAAAAATAAACATTAAAAAAAACCCATACCTAGACGTATCATAGCTAATGTTGAAAACAAAGATAAAACCCTGAAAGCAGACAGAAGGGAAAGCCTATATGTAGGGGAACAAAGCTGGAGCAGACATCTCTAGAAACGATGCAAGCCACAAACAAAGAAGAAATATTTTTTTAAGTACTAAAAGAAGGAAACCTGTCAGCACAGAATTCAATATCCAGCAGAAACATTTTTCAAGAGTGAAGGTGAATTGACTTTCTCAAACAAAAGCTGAGAGTGACCATTGACAGCAGACTGGCATTAGGGAAAATGCTAAGGAAACTTCTTTAGGCCACATGGAAAAACAAAACGTGTGACCTGATGTGTCTGGTTCATCACGTTGTAGCACGTGTCAGTTTTTCATTTTATTATGTTATTTAAAAAAAAATTTAAATTGATTTTGAGAGAGAGAGAGATACATCACTCAGTTGCCTCCCATATGTGCCCAAACCGGGGGGATCGAACCCATAACCTAGGTATGTGCGCTGACTGGGAATTAAACCTGAGACCTTCCAGTGCATGGGACGATGTTCCAACCAACCGAGCCACACCAACCAGAGCAAGAGGATCTTTAAAAAAACAAAAAAATCAAACAAACAAGAGAGGCCCTGGCTGGGTAGCCCGGTTAGTGAGAGCATAATTCCGATATGCCAAGGTTGTGGTATCGATCCCCAGTCAGGGCACACACAAGTAACCAATGAATGCATAAATAAGTGGAACAACAAATTGATGTTTCTCTCTCTACTTTCCTTTCTCTCTCTAAAATAATCGATTTACACACACACACACACACACACACACACACACGAGGATCTTAAAGCTAATACTGAGTAATTATATCAGTGTTTACATCAAATTGGAAAGGTCATCTTTCTAGGACAGGGGCTGAGTCTTGTTCAGCGCTGTATGGCAGGGCCTGGTCAGTGCCTGGCCTGCAGTAGGTGCTTAACAAGTATCACCAAGTGAATAAAATAATACATGGAAAGAAGTGGGGGCAGGCTTGTTCCCCTGGCCCAAGGGTTCCTGTGTCTTCAACAGAAACAGGCACAAGGCATACTCACTGTCAAAGAGGATGATCCGGCCATCGCCACCACAGAGCTGGGTTTGATCCCCGAAGCAGACGCTGTTGCACTCAGTACTGGCTACCTCCCCATACTTCCAGTAATCCGGATTGTTTCCACAGAAGCAAGCATAGCCTGACTCCATCCCAGCAAACTGCCACAATAGAGAAGCAGGACTTGGTAAGTGTCAATCAGGGATGTCAAGTGAACCGAAGGATCCTGGCAAGGTTGGTCCCCAGAAAGCAGTCAGCCTCATCTTCCCAGCCCACCCTTCCCCTGGGACCTCTCCTTGTCCCATTCTTACAACAGGTCATTACACACTGAGGGAGGGAAGAGGAAGAGAAAAGGAAAGGGAAGGGAGGAAATGAAACAACTTAATTTTCTTATTTTTTGATATAACAAACAATAGCATTATTGAATCTTAATGGCCAACGAATGAATTTCAGATAGAGGAATAGATAGGAAGAAAATATTTTGGACTGGTGTCCAGGCTAGGCCCCTGAATTTATCAAGGAAGCAACCACTCCCTTGGTTTATTCCCAGATCGCCCATAGAGCCAGAGATGTTCCTGCTCATAACATACACGGCACAAGGAAATATGTAACTCTGTCAGAAGTCAAATAGGGATGCAGATATTGGGGGTTTTCAGTCTTTGGACAAGAGAACTGCCTCATACTCCTCATTCCCAAGCCCCACTCTTCCTCCAACTTCTCCTTGGCGGAAAAATAGAGATGTATGGCTTCACAGGTTATATTTCAAAAACTTATATATAGTTTAAAGTCATTTTTACATCTTTACCTGTTTCTATAGATATATAGCCACAGAGCAGTTACCTTGAACCTCTGACTCCGACAAAAACTGATGCAGGTTTGTATGGTAAGTTTGTTAGATGTTTTACTGGCGCCAGTTAGAGGAGGTGGGTTTCCATGATCCTTGTAGCAGCCAAGGTTTCCAGGCACTGTAGAAAAAAGAAAAACAAAAGAATTTCACAACATCTGGCTGTGAAACAACAAGAAGGAAAAGTGTTTTGTGCCAGGTACTTTCATCTCAGCCAATATTTCCACTCCTAAGGCACAATAAATAACAAGTAACAAACTTTAAAAATGGAAGCCTAGTGTCTTCTGCTAAATGCCACGCTTTTGTTTTATTTTGAAGAGTATGTGAGGCCCATATAACTAACCCTATGAAATTTTTTTACCTGTTCACTATTGACAGAATTTAGTACTGAAGAGAACTAGAAATACTTTCCTAAAAATAGAAGCTACAATATATAAACTGTTTCAGAATCACTAGAGAGCAGGAAAAACCCTTGGAAGCCCATCGTCCTATGCCTTGTACCTCCCCTTGTTCCTTAAAAAGCTCCACAGATGGGTTTCCTCAAGATCCTTGGTAAGTGTATTAGTTTCCTATTGCTACTAGAACAAATTACCACAAACCTAGCGGCTTAAAACAGCATAGATTCATTATCTTACAGTTCAGGAGGTCAGAAGTACTAAATGGGTCTTATGGGGCTAAAATCAAGTGACAGCTGATTTTCCCTCTGGAGGCTCCAGGGGAGAGCCTCTGTTCCTTGCCTTTTCCATCTCCTAGAAGCTGCCCCTATTCCTTGGCTTGTGGCTGCACCATTCCAGCCTCCGCTTCCATCATCACATCACCTTCTCTGGCTCTGATCCTCTGCCTCTCTGTTATAAGGACCTGTATGATTACATGAGACCTTACCTGGATAATTCAGGATAATCTCTCCATCTCAAAATTCTTAACTTAATCATACCTGCAAAGTCCCTTATGCCCTGTAAGGGATTACATAGACATTTTTTATTTTTATTTTTTGGTGGGGGCATTATTTGGCTTATCACAGTAAACATTTAGTGTTTCACAATCACACAATCAGTTTGTTTGGTCTAGTAGAAAAAGCTGTATCTGACAATAAAGAAACCTGAATATATATATCAATTGTGGTAGACAACTTTCAAGATGGTCCTCAATGACTCCCACCTCCTGGTGGTCATGCCCTTGTGTAATCCTCTCCCCTTGAGTATTGGTTGGACTAGTGAGTTGCTTTTGACCAACAGAATGTGGCTAAGTTGTTGGAATACTGCTTCGGTGATTAGGTTACAAGAGATTGTGACTTCTGTCTTGCTAGTAGATTCTCTCTATTGCCTTCTTGGCTTATATAGTTTTATGAAGCAATATGCCATGTCAGAGAGGTCATGTGACAAGGAACTGAGGATGGCCTTTAGTCAACAGCCAGCAAGAAAACAAGACCTCCACTTTCTACAAAGACTGAATCCTATCAACAATGATGTATGCTCGCAGTAGATCCTCCCCCAGTGGAGCTTTCAGATGTGACCAGAGGCCTGGCAGACACCTAGACTGCAGCCTTACGAGAGACCTTGAAGCAGAGGACCCAGAAAAGCCATGTGCAGGTTTCCTGACCCACAGGAAGTGTGAGACAATAAGTGTATGTTGCCCTAATTGGTTGCTCAGTGTTTAGAGCGTTGGCCCATTGACTGAAGGGTCTCAGGGGCATGTACCTGGGTTGTGGGTTCGCTCACTGTCCCCAGTCAGGGCACATGCAGGAGGCAACCAGTCAATGCGTCTCTCTCACACTGATGTTTTTCTCTCTCTTTCCCTCTCCCCCTCCCTTCCACTCTACTCTCTCAGAAAAGCAATGGAAAACATATTCTTAGGTGAGGATTAACAAAAAAAGAAAAAATGTATGCTGTTTTAAGTCACTACATTTTGGGGTAATTTGTTATACAGAAAGCGCTAATACACCTATATAATACATACTAAATAAATGTTTATTGAATGAAGGAATTAATTTATTGTGGCCCATGCACAAATCAACATCTGTGTTATTAATTTATGAATCACTCCACTATCAGATGAAGGTCTTCCCTACTTTCTCTATTTGGTTCCTCACAGCTTATAGAACTGAGTTATAATAAGACATGAATGAGGCCTGGTCCTAGAAGCACTTTTAGGTCAGTTAAGAGTGATATGTTTTCAACTCCAAAGTAAGCCACATAGACTCTTAGAAAGCATTTTTCCTTTATGTTTACGGTTGGAAAACAGCATGGTCCAGTTTAATAAGCTTTATATCCACATTAGTCTTTTGACATCTAAAAATACACACATATGTACGTATGTACACACACACACTTTTAATTTCTGCCATCATCTACCTCTCACCAGCTCATTTTCAATTGGCAGGAAGGATCTCTGCTAACCCCAAAAGTCCCCCTTCCCCCTCTAAGCCAAGTGGTTGCCCTTCTTCTTTACGTCACATATGGTTCAAATATAACAAATGTGGCTCACCACACACATGCTAAAGTGCATCTTTCGGAAACAAACCAAGTCTCTATAGTAGCAAATGTAAACAGAAAAACTCGGGGCAGTAGAAGCCTGGTGTTCAGGGGGCCTGGCTTGGGAATGGCTGGGTTTTAGAGTTTAAACAAATGCAGTGAGTCAAGCATCTCTAGCAGGGAGTGCATCACATAAGCCACGTTAAAGGGACCTTGCATATGGAAACCCAAGCCATGCACTTAATGGTTCTTAGTAAGAACTACTTGATCATGATCATTCTGGTCATTTACTTTGATTTTTGTCTCATTTAGTCCATTATGCTCACCAGTAAGCATGTTATTAGGTATTAGTTATAGAGAGCCCAAGGCACATAACCATAAATGTGAAGATTAGACATAAACAAGGCCATGGGTTGCATTAATGCAGCTGGAACCTATTCACAACAATTTGGCAAGCAAATCCAGGCAGCTCATGTTCCACTGAAGCAGTGAGGTCCCAAAACACATCCTAAGGCAGATCACTGGAAATCAGATCACAGCACGTTGCTGCTCCATCCATCTGAATATCAATGGCCTGAGGTATCACCCTTGCCGTCCAAGTTAATCACTTGCTGGACACTGTCAATTCTACCAGACATCTGTCCATGTCTCTCTGTCCCCACTGTCACTTCCCCAGTTTGGAACATCATCTCCTCCCTCTTGGGTTGCTGCTTCAGCCTCCTATTCCATCCCTGTTTCTAGGCTCACCCTACTCTAATCTAATTAGTCTATTGCAACCAGGATAGTCTTTACAGTACATTCCAGGCAGAATGAGTGGCAGGGGCAGAGGCCTAAGATAAGAATGGCCTTGGCCTTGCAGGAACAAAAAGAAGCGAGTATGGCCAGTGACACACACAGAGAAAAGTAACAGGAGCTGGAGAGGGATGCTTAAAGCTGGGGACCTGCTTAAAATCCTCGAAGATCCCTGGCTGCCCCCCAAGGTGAAATCCAAACTCCCTCACATGTTACACAAGGCTTTCCCCCTCTGAGCTGCTCCCCTTCCCCATTGGATGACCCCTCTATCCTGGGCTCACGCTGTATCTATAGGTCAAAATAAATCATAGTGTATTTGCAAGTTTCCCAATTGCACACTGCACTCTGGCCTCTGGACTTTTGCACATGTTATTCCCTCTGCTTGGAATATTCTTCCCTACTTAAGATGCAGCCTGAGCATCATTTCCCTGGGAAGCCCCCATGGCCCTCCCACACACAAGAAGGTTATATGTCCCTGCTATATAATCCTATAGCAGCCTATGCTGAACTTGATTCTGAACATCTGTTTATGTGTCTCTCTCCCCAATTACCCAGAAACCACTTAAGCGTAGGACTATCTTTTGCACACCATTGTATTCCTAGGGCCTGGCATGGTCCCAGTCACATGGCAGGTGCTCTAAAACTGTGTTAAATGAACAAATGTTCTGTGTCGCCAGCTAAAATCATGGAGTGAGTGGGTAAAGGCACTTCTTAGGCAGCAGTGAATGAAGAGCGCAGAGTAGAAGGGAAGAGCAGAGCTGATCTGTAACAACATTCACTTAAAGTGAGTAACCATTGGTTTTGAAACCTGCCTGCTCACTGTCCTCTTTGGCAACCTAGAAATACCATTTTAAATAACGGAGTTTTCCATAAAGGTTAACTTTAATACTTAAAATTTTATCTTTATCATTTTGGATGAAACCTTTCTAAAATGCATTAGCTATTTCTTTTTTTTTATTTAATATATTTTATTGATTTTTTACAGAGAGGAAGGGAGAGAGATAGTCAGAAACATCGATGAGAGAGAAACATCGATCAGCTGCCTCCTGCACATCTCCTACTGGGGATGTGCCCACAACCCAGGTACATGCCCTTCACCGGAATCGAACCTGGGACCTTTCAGTCCGCAGGCCGACACTCTATCCACTGAGCCAAACCGGTTTCGGCATTAGCTATTTCTTTTAAAACAACAACACCAACACACAAAAAACCCCAAAAACTTTAACCTAGTTTAACCTACTTTAAATTTTCTTGGTGGCTTGAGATCATCAAATATACTTTACTAAATGGCCCCAGACTGGTGTGCTATTTCCTTCTTCTTTTTTTTTGAAGGGTGGAAGCTCTCTCCGAAGAGCCCAGACTAGCTCCTAAGCAATACTATTCTCCCAGCAGGCCTAAGGAAGCCAGCCTCGGTGTGTCTCAGTGATTTCCACAGGCACCTCTTCCTGGAGAGCCAGCAGTCCTTTCAACCTCTGGCTCCTAGGCCAAGTGTGCTCACTTATGGGTCCTTTCCTCTAAGGCAGTGGTTCTCAACCTTCCTAATGCCACGACCCTTTAATACAGTTCCTCATGTTGTGGTGACCCCCAACCATAAAATTATTTTCGTGGCTACTTCATAACTGTAATTTTGCTACTGTTATGAATCGTCATGTAAATATCTGATATGCAGGATGTATTTTCATTGTTACAAATTGAACATAATTAAAGCATAGTGATTAATCACAAAAACAGTATGTAATTATATATGTGTTTTCCGATGGTCTTAGGCGACCCCTGTGAAAGGGTCGTTCGACCCCCAAAGGGGTCGCGACCCACAGGTTGAGAACCGCTGCTCTAAGGCAATCATATGGAGACTGGG